CCACCCTAGTAGATTCTAATGTGTTTTGGCGGAGACAACTACTGTATTTCGAACTAATGAGGGTCGTGGCCAACTCCAATAGTATCCGGTCAAGTTAGCCTCGATGAGTGCACGAATGTCGCCACGGAACCAGCAGCTTCCGAACATTTTTGTGAGGCATCGTGGAGAAATCAGGCGCTTGTCAAAATAATGAAATCGAAGTTACAGGCATTTTTCTGCCAGTTATCAAATATTGTTGTCGTTTTTACTCAACACCTTTTGTTTGCATATAAAAACAAATTCCTATGTGAATTTTACTGAAAAACGTTGATTAAAGGCACAGAATATGTAGATTTTTAGTTTTCAGTCACTCTTATACTACTGAAGTTACCAAACTCTGGCGGCCATTTTCTCTCTAATTTTTCCTTTGAAACCTGACAACCCCACGTCCTTCAATTGCAAATATCTTGACCTTTATTCAAGATAGATGAGTGTTTTTAAAACTAAAAGCAAGGCAAATGAATAAGCTTCCTGATAATACCAATAACTCTACATGCCCAAAAATTAACGAGCACCTGATTCCACCGAGTCGTCACAATTTTAAAAATCACAGAGTAGCTAAAGGCCTGTCACTGATACCCAATTATAAATAATTCACAGAGAAAAATAATATATTGTTGTCACGATTTAGATCTCTCTTAATTCGCCGTAGGCAGTAGGACAGTCTTGTGTGCCTCAGCGCAGGAGCAGAACCTGATAGGAGCATAGATCGTAATCGTGAGATTGCGAGTTCGGGGGTTCGAGCCTCAGCTCGGTCCGACGTTGTGTCCTTGGGAAAGGCACTTTACACGAACTTCCCACTTGGCTCGGTCCTATCGGAGACGGACGTTAAACTAGGAGGTCCTGCCGCTTAAATAACCTAATAGTGTTGATAGGGGCGTTAAACCTATACCATTTCACCATTTAGGAGTACAGAAGTGGTTCAGAAGAACAGATGGTGCAAGGGAAGCAAAAATATGAGAGGCCTCGTGGTGAAATTAGGCGCTCGTCGAAACAATGAAATCGAAGAAATCGGCGTTTTTCCTAGGTTTGGGCAATTTTTTTCGATATTTTATTTTTATGCATAATACATGTTAGCGCGATACCAATAACTTCACATATGCCCAAAAAATTGACGAACGCCTGATTCCACCGAGTCGTCACAATTTTAAAATCACAGAGTAGCTCAAGACCTGTCACTGATATCCAATCATAAACAATTCACAGAGAAAAATAATATATTGTTGTCACGATTAAGATCTCTCTTAATTCGCCGTAGGCAGTAGGACAGTCTTGTGTGCCTCAGCGCAGGAGCAGAACCTGATAGGAGTACAGAAGTGGTTCAGAAAAACAGATGGTGCAAGGGAAGCAAAAATATGTGAGGCGCTCGTCGAAACAATGAAATCAAAGAAACCGGCGTTTTTCTAGGCGTTGGGCATTTTTTTTTTCGAATTTTCTTTATATGCATATGTTAGCGTGATACCAATAACTCCATATGCCCCAAAATTGACGAGCGCCTGATTTAACAGGTGACACATATGAAGACTACAAGGGAGAAACGACTGAAGTCACAAACTGAAAATCGTGAGGGTATCAATTGTGAACGCTTGTTGACTCATAACTTTACTTCTGTTCAACTGTTGGTTAATTATTGTTGTTAGATTTCCCATTCAACAACACTTAACAATAAACCACCAGTCAATCAAATATTATGAAGTTCTGAGTCCACGAGATTTAAAGGTTGACATCCTCACAAATTTCTAGTTTGTGACTACGGTCGTTTTTCCCCTGTGCTCTTCACATGTTATCTGAATTGTTCAAATCAACATCGATGTTCGTTATAAACGTTCTATAAGTTTGAATCTTCCCAGGAAGTAGAGGTTGTTTCAGAATGTTCTCAGGTCTGCTGTGGTAATAGCATATATGTGAGACGTGCTGACAAAATGAGTTACTTTTCATAATCCACAAATGAAGATATTCGCCAAAAATCGACTCTAGGGTCAAATTTGTAGATTTTCTGTTTATGCCATATTCTTTAAATATAACATGCTTTTTATTATTTCATACTTCTAAACTGTAAAAACTTCACCAATAAGCGTGATGTATCTATTTCAATAAGACTCGATTCCGAGAAACAACTCATTTTGTCAGCATCCTTCACATAATATTGTGAAGCGCTCAGAGTTTGCTGTTGAGCGGGGATTTGGGCTATACAAATGCTATCTATAGCTATTTTGATTAATCTACATGCTATATGTAGTGCTACCATTTCCCATTGTTCTAAAGTGCTTAACGTTCACCATCCCATTGTGCTGCCTACACTTATAGAGGTCACGTGTTCTTTACGAGTTCATGAGAACAATCCAACGTAGTTCTGTAACGTTCTTGGTTTTACTCCGTTCATCAATGATTGAACACGCCATTGCAATCCACGCCAGAACTCCGGGCTTTGTTCAGTCTAGCAGTCTCCACACTTAAAGAATCATCTCTCCACTGGCCCTCACAGCACAAAGGCATGTGGGTGCATAGTCAAAGTTCTCCGTCGTACCAAAGAGTCTACATAACAAGAGGGGCCACTTCTCTCTTTGAGCCAATTAAACAAAGTGTCCTCAAAATTCGGTGGCGCCCTCTTCGCAAATGTGCACCCTTTGCGAACAGAGTTACCCTACTTGAGTTTTAAAAAATTAAAGTGAAACTAGCAAGATTTTGAATAAATTTCGGAAGAACGCTTTTTTTTAATGGTTACGCTGACAAAAAAAAAAAATTTCTTCCGGAGGAAAGGGTGATTGTTTTCTTCGTTTAATTTGATTTTAGAACGAAAGGCGAGAGGTCATTAAAATTTTTAAAAACCTAAAACTCCACACTGAACGGACCCGAACTGCTGATGAACAGCAGTCGATCTGCGCACGCAAGGAGGTGCTATTCCTATTCTTCTTCTGGAAAAACGAAAGAGAGCTTCAAAACAGACTGCAGCACCATCTGAAGCAAAGAGCGAACTTCCGGCGGACACTTTTTTGGCTGAGTGGCCCATCTTGTTATGTACTATCTTTGGTCGTACACGGCTACTCAGTGTTCCACACAGAAGATTGTTTTCTCAACTACAATGACACATGCGCAGTTGTATTAATTAGTTTCTTCACAATTCAACTTATGGATACGCCTACTGTAAATATTGAATCCGCCCTATTCATTAGAAAGAGCAGTGATTTAACATAATCTGAAAAGGTATCTAAGATAAGTTTTATATTGCCTATAGTGCACAATGGCACTACTCAAAATTTGGTTCTAATCAAACAAATAGTTGCTGAGAAATCATGCTTCAAAAGTGTTCACGATAAGTTGAATGCACTTTAACTTTGAGCACTCTCTTCCTGTATTAAATTCTCTCTTCCTGAAAGAACCTCTGTATGTCTGTATGTGTCTGTGTTTGTGTTTATCACAGGTCAGTGACGAGGAAGCCGCCAGGTGGTGGAGTCGATGCGGCGTCTGCAAACCTCACCACAGTACCCACGGTTTGAGGAGCACCCACGTTAATTACGCTCTGGCCAGAGGACACGGACGCGTCGTCGGGAGACTTTGGATCTTCTCGGCCGTTTCCGTCCCTCTCCGCCTCCGTTGCAGCACAAGGCAGGACGGCAGCTGCTGATGATGACGTCATCGCGACTTGCGACGTGGAGGCGGGGAGTGTCATGGCGGTGGCGGCGTTAGCGATGACTAGCGAGTTGTCTCTGGTGGTTGAGGTTGTGGGTGAAGCAGCAGCGGGGTGTGCTGTTGTTGTTGGTGTTGCTGTTGTCGTTGTTGTTGTTGCTGCTGCAGCGATGGTGGTGGCGTTCGTGGTGGTGGTGGTGGTGGTGGTGGAGACAGACGGTGAGACAGCTGATGTGGCGAAGGAGCTGTTGACCACGAAGGGGAGTGTACTCCGCGGTTGTTTGGCCGGGTACCTGGGGACGCTCGTGCCGTTGTCTGGTCGTGCAGAGTTGCTTACTACAGCGGTGGAAGAGGGAGGTAACTGCGCGGGGTTTTTATTCGCACCATCTTTACTTTTGTTCGGTTGTCGAGATAATGCTGACGCGTACGTGGATGGGTTCATATCCACAGGCGGCAGAGATTCGCGTTTCCCTTTGGAAGAATTCAGAGCGGCGTTGAAGGATAAAGATTTCTTCGACTGTGCGGCTGAATTATTGAGCACGCGTACAGGAGAGTTTGCCGGGCTGTCGTCGGAGGTATTTCCTTTGTCTCCTCTCGGGAGGAGGCTGGAGCTACTGTCATAACTCTGTGTGTCACTCATCACCACAGCCTGATCAGCCTCGCGCGAGCTATAACTTTCGGGTATTCCCGGTTTCGACAGGTCTTTCTCCGGCGCGTTTTTAGATTGCGCGTGTTTTGCCGCGCCCTTTTGGCCCGACTTTTTGTCTTTTGATGCCGAGGATCTGGCAAACAGAGTACGTTTCGCGGGTTTTGGGAAGCCTTTCCCTGAATTTTTGCCGCCGCCGCTTTCTGCAGCAGATTCCGCGCTCGTGTGGTGGGATTTCCCGATCTTGTAGTCTATGGCCGGCACGGAAATATCCCCGCTCGTCGAGCTACGAGTTATGCTGATCTGTGGGATCCTCACTCTCGATTTGGAGCCAGATTTCTCTTTCTTCTTGTGATCTCTCTGGTCAGACGATCGGCCCGTGGACAAACACGACGCGCAGCTGTCGTCTGCTGTCTCGCTGCTGGTGTGAGAACGAGGCGGCGCCGAGGTCCGATCTAACTTTTGTTGTTTTGTAGATCGGGGGTTGACGTGTGGGCCTGCTGTTTCGTTCACGACCTGAAATTTGACCGAATGTTCGGAATTTTTGGACGGGAAGACAGCAGCTCTGTCGGGAGACTGCAGACAGCCGTCACTGTCGTTGTCCATGTCGTTGGAAGACCACATGACGTGACGGTCTTTGCCTCTCTCGGATGTGGACACCGCCGGGGTCACTCGCTCTGACCCATAACCTTTGACCGCGTTAGCGTTCCTGTCCTTTTGTAAGAACGGCGTGGCCTGGTTGTAAGCTTCTTCCCTTTCGTTGAAACCGTCAGCAGACGTGTAGGGCGGGGAGTACAGCGAGTGACGGCCATACTCTTCGTCCGAGAAGCATCCGTCGTCTGCTAAGTCGCTCGGCCGGAACTGAACATAACTCTCCCCGTCCGTCCCCAGACGATAGTCGTCCTCTCCGTTCAGATGACCCTCTAGAGCGTTCGCCGTGACCTGGCACATGTGGCCTTGACCCAGATTTTCATGCGAGCCCCGCCGGAAGTGCGTGGGGTGACCGCCGGCGTGCGCATGCGTGACTCTGTCGTACGGGTGTAGGCTGTGCTGGCTGGCTCTCCTCGTCTGAGGGTCGTCCGGGTACCCGTGAAGCTCGTGGTCGTCAGAGTCCCTGA